CGACCAGCTAGTGGCAGCCCCACTTACCATCCGTCTGCTGATGACCTCAAAGAATAAATGGTAGGATTCCCGTTTGATCCTTTTGTCTACAGCATCAACGAAGATACACAAACTCTGCAGCCGCGCTCGACGTTGCTGGGAAACGCCCCTGTGGATGGGATTTGGTTCTATCCATCAGGCCATCCTGTACTCCGGGCAGAAGTAACTATATTATTGGTAATCCTTTGCTAGTTGCTATCTTTTTAATCCATATAGAGGAACCAAGCAAAATGCATACCTACCAAAACGACTGCCAGTAAGTTTGGGATATTGTCAAGGATGTTGACAATACAGGCTCCTTTTAAATATGGACGACTTGGTTGTTTTATGATATATATAATGCATTCCTCAACAACATTTCCCCATCCTAGCCACATTAAATTATCTTTTATCTAAGCGTAAGACTTTAGGATTTGCATGTGGGAATTGAACCAGGGTTCCATTCTTATGAGCGAATTCCTTGTAGGCACGGGCCACCTTGCATCCCCTCTTTATAAATAGTGAGGAGTGATGAGTTATTTTAGCACTCCATCGGCACATTCTTGTTTACACGACGAGCTATAAATAGAAGTGAAGTTTCCAGCAGAAACGTGGACGTCTAATCATGCATGGAAGCAAGGTTTGATTTCTCTGATCTCTGGGTCTGCCACTATAAGTAATTACATAGTGGTGTAAATTTTATCTATCGATAATATCAATGTTTGCATCACAACTACGCATACGAGTGCACTGACATAAAACACATTTAGGCAATATATCAGGATATTTATATCAGTATGGGTCCACGATACATCGATGCATCGCCTACAAGAGACGATATATCCTAGATACTTACGAAAGTTTAAAGGGCATTGCATTATGATTAGGAAGGGAGTCTCTCTAGCTCTAAATTGTAAAATAAACTGAACCTTATAGAATCTGCTCTATCTTACCATCTTGTTACATGAACAAATATTGGTGTGACGCGGAAAGAGAATGTGTGAACAGTTTCAATCTCTGACAAAAAGACTTATTCTTAAGTAATTGAAACATTTAGTTGTTTGACAATAACACTATGAACAATGTCTTAGCTTTGTTAAGAAAGAGAAGATAACATTTAGGAAAGCATACTAAGAGGTTTCTTCTTGTTGATTCTGCATAAATTATATCAATCTTCGTCTGTGAAAAGCATTGGCGCAGAAATACATAACTTTCCAAGGAAACCTAGAGCAAGGTATAATTGAATATGTTTGATTGTAATTTCTACATTAAATGCTGAAACTTTTATTACATGAACAGCCTTTTTAAGTGTGTAAGCATTATATATCACATGTCTGGGCTGTATAACAAATAAAAGATTCAGCCATTCTTTGACATCTATTATATATCTATTATACATATCGTATCGCCGTCTCTGTATCGTGATAATAATCGTCCTACAGATTCCCGTATTGGCCAATACTTTCATGATGTATCATCTCGCCCTCATTAAACTGGTATCAGGATATATCGTCTCGCCATTTTAGGCACCGATAATACATCTCTAGACTATTATATCGATATTAATGCCCAAATATGACCACTCGTCATCTTTGAATCGTCGTGATGGCAGAAAAACAAGCCTACCCTAAGCTGCCTGACTCAATTGCTTCTGATAATTTGCTGAATCGAAAACTCCTTTGTGTCTATTGAGATAACACGCCATCCCAACATACATGCACTAAAAACATGCCAGTGTCCGATTAATAAACCTTAGTCACTAACATAACAGTATGTCCTATGGTGTCAGTATATGTAGCGCAATAAATTTGTTGTACTGGAGGGACTATACTCTGGGGATCTTTTTCTATAGTATGCATGCATGGCTTATGACTTCCAGAGTAAAACTCTACCAAAACCACGAGGTCAATAAAATGAGATAATAAGTTAACCTAGGACTACCTAGAGGCAATAGGATACCTTGATATCATAAGCACAAATCTGAAAAGGCCCAGACACAAAAGCGTGCAGTTGGTTAAAATGAAACACTGCATCTATGGAAGATAAAATAGCAATCCTAAAATACCCGCCAGAAAAGCAGGCATGCAATCAGCTCAATCTTAAAACGCGGTGTCATATCAGACAGCAAGCTCTCTTAAAACTAAACCACGCAGCCAGACAGGCAAAATGTTCATGGAACCATATTATGGATATTTAATCGTTTCGGGTGAACGCAGTTAGAGACTTTCACCTGATTACTGGATGTCCTCACCGATAATTCCGGGTAGTTGAATCCCTTTCTACATTGAAAAAATGTATTTTTTTTATGGGTGGTCCCTCCTTTAATGGAGTTGAAGTAAGGCTGGATCGTGTATCCCTTCCTGTGGGGTTTTCTCTTGCCCGTTCTGGATAGATAAGATGGATGGCTAGGTAAGGTTTTGTATTGTGCTAATAAAAGCAAATAAAATAGTGCATGATCCCAATTATGTCTTCTTGAGGTGTCGGTGAATCTCCATCAAATGGTGATTACCTGTGTATACCAGTATTCACGAAAAGGTGAGCCTGATTTCGCACCTCCAAATGCATGGGAAGGGAAGATATTCTGTTCATTGATAGTAGTAATGCTTGTTTAACGCCGCTCATGGCATAAATTCCAACTCTGGTCCTTATAATTTAAGTGAATTGAAACCATCAGCATTGTTTCCATCTTAACTACAGGATATTACTAATCCAAATCCTGCGAATCTGAGCCCCTATTCGCTAATGTTCCTTTACAACATGCTATGGATTGCTGACCACCACCTCATTACTTCAGGATATTCAGGTAGAAGTCTGGGAGAGAGGGAGGAGAGAGGGGGAGGTGAAACGAACGTATCAGACAGACAGCCATATGAACTAGTAAAATCAACAACTGATGACCTATAATTCTATGGATAATTTTTACAGAGAAGCTTGTTAAATCTGATGACGTCACTAGAATGTCACATACATGAGAGAAGGGGAGAGATTTGACAGTCAGACAGACCAGATGTAATAATCTGATTTAGTAAAATTAACAAACTGATAATCCATAAATAAATGGATACTTAAGCCCTCCTCTCTCTTTCTCTCTTCTCATCTCTCTCTCTCCCTCACACACACACACACACACACAGAGAGTTTAGGAAACCGTAATCAGGCCGGAAAAGAGTCGCCAAAACAGGGCAAAGTCAAACAAAGACTACCAGTGACATGTACTCTGAACCAAAGAGATATTCAAAACACAACCATCTCAACTCTGAAACCCCTGCTAAACTGGCCACAGAATTCCCTGCTACAGGGCAAATACAAATGTTCAAAATGCTGGCACAATTTCTAGTGACATTACATTGCCCAAAGACGCTGCCAGGAATCTCACCTATCTGGCACGCTGTTTCCTCCCATTTGCTCTTGATACGGGCAACATCTTCCAACTGAGTTCTCATGACGTTCTTGCCAGTTCCAGCGTCCTTTCCTCGAAGTTCAACGCCTATCCTCCAACTTCAGGTACTCCAGGGAAGTACTGTGATGGTCTCGTCGTACTGTACCAACGGTGGTAGACACAGTAACAGCCATACTCATACTGTGGGCCGCACGCATGCTCTCTCAGCCATGCAATGGAACTTCCTTATCCTGCCATAACCTGCCAGTCACTATATAATATCTTCTTATCCCACTGCGCATAGATTTCAGCCTAGCCTACTTTGATCCATATCTCTTCACATGCTTTAACCTGAAGGGGGGCTTAGGCCAACGAAAAGATAGGCTGTCCAGTAACTATGCATAGAACTTTGCTGAAGTGTCCCTCTTCACTCTTGACTGCCTGATTGGTAACTCGAGGAGTGAGTGGAGTGAGTTCAGTTTCCTTTACGCCGCTTTAGCAGCTTTCCGAAGGCAATATCACGGTGGAAAAACACCAGAAATGGGTTTCAATACACTGAACCCATATGGGGAAACGAACCCAGGTCTTCCACGTGACGAGTAAACGCTTTAAACCATTAGGCTACTCCCCACCGCACCGTGCCCCTCCAGTAAGTGCAGAGTGGGTTTATGCGAGAATAAAAATTATTGTCTCATCTCCTGATTCCCGAGACGACATCGTCAGTCGGTTAATACTTGCATCTACCATTGTTCCTACTCCTCAGAATGTTGATTTTTTTCGACTTTCACATGCTGGCAATCACTGTGTCTAGACTGCCTCTACCGTTATTATTTGCGCCCTCGAGGGAAGGGGAAGAAGTATAAAATGATTGTCTCCCTGAGGACTGTATCGTCAGTCGGGGAATACTTGCATCTACCATTGTTCTTACTCGCAGAATGTTGACTTTTCTTCGATTCTACATGCTGGCAGTCACTGTTTCTGGACTGCCTGACTGTTACTTGTGCCCTCGAGGGATAGCACCATAAATCAATCACGGAATACTTGTATCTACATCTGTACTTCCATCGCAGAATGTTGTCTGTTTTAAACTTTACACGCCAACAGTCAAAGTGTCTGCAAGTGTATATACTTATTGAGGCAATGCAGGTGGCACTCGTACAGACAGTTCTTACATTGTACATGTGAGTAATTGAATAATTCTTGAATACAATATACTTCCAGCAGTAATTAAAGATGACGGAACCCTTAACATATTCACAAGAATACTTTAAAGCAAAGCAAAGTACAATTCTGACTATGGCATAAACTTGATACGATTGTTGATAATTGACACATTGTTTAAAAGTATATTGACAAGAAGAAAAGTGTGGAACACAAATGACTGATGTGCTTGACGGATCTGTATGGGTCATAGGCCGCCGGTATCATAGATAGTTTTCCATCATATGTTACCTGGGTTTATGTGGCTGTTGCCAACCTAATCACAAATTTCATTACGTTTTAATGTTTGGTCAAATCGATTTTTCAAGTGTATTCTTTACTAGGAGTGTATGTCAATCCCTCATGTACATGCTAGCACATTTAAAAAATAAGAAGACGACTATTTCGCACATCAGATTTTATTCATAAAATTGTTGTGATTCTCTAGTATGGAGAACCTATTACCGTGAATAATAAATTGATACTGTGTGTTGCATTGTTTTAGTTTTCAACTTATTACAAAGATATTCAAAATGCGATTCCTTTCTCTGCCTTTGGACAAATAACTCAGTGTCTGCCTACGACCAATGCCACGGTCGACACAAAGCCCCCAGTTTGAGCAAAGGTCATTTTAACTTCGTTCTGCTGTCGTATGATGCTTGCGGAGACGTCGTACCTCGAAGGTCTCAAACACTGTGTCACCAGAATCGCCAGCAGCCTGCAAGGAGTAGAAGGAGGCCAAGAGGTGATTATTAATCATGACCGTCTTTGGATGTCCGTGAGGTGCCTTGTTGTCTCTGCTGACACTGATTCTCAGACGAGCAAAGTCAATGCTGCCAATGCTTGGGACGTTAACTTTAACATTGACCACAGTGTTGTGGAATTGGGGACAACCATGTCGGTGGAGTAGTACGTTTTCTGGATCACAGTAGGAGCATGGGCAAAGTTGTGGGTTGTGTGGAACTGGAAGTAACAACTGGCTTCAGCAGGAACGGTTACCATGGAGTTGGAAACGTGAACTGCTTTTGGTCCTGAGCGAGGATTGGTTTCTTCTGTGCATTCAGATATTCACAGGTAGACTTTCCATTTGTTGGATGAAACCAACCCTTGTCGAAAGAAAGCTTTACATGACTTGGCTTTGCTCATGGTTGTGAAGAAGGATGTAAACAGTTCCTGAAGATTTGTCCAATAGGATGTGAGGCACAATGTTCCTCTCAGCATTATGAAACTCACTATCTACCCTCCAAAACATCATCGCATTACCAAAGTTCATCCAGAACTTGAAAGCGTCAGCAACATCCCTGATGTTCCGATGCCTATCAAACAAACTGTAGCTAATGCTTGCTTGTCCTTTGAGGTCAGTGTAAGTCAGCAAGAAAGCAACAACCTTTCTCAGTGCATCACGGCGTTGAAGGAAGGTAAACATTTGGTCGTTGTGTTGATGGATATGACCCCAGTCAATGAAGCTGGACGGCTTCTGCTCATCCATCCCTGATACATGTCCCATGCCATACTCACTGATAATTACATCGAACGACTTTCCTTTCTTCTTATGGGAATAACTCTCAATAAGGTCGAGAAGACCAAACAGCTTTGCTTCTGATCCGTGGAACTGGTGAGCACCTCCGTGGACATCCAGACCAAAGTACGAGTGGAAGGAGAAGAAGTCCAGTTTATCCAAAGACATGTCCATAAAGTCAGCCATCTTTTTCCAGACCCTGAATCCATGGACGTCAAAACTAGAAGATGCCCCGGTATAGGTAGGTCCTCCCACCTTTATTTGATGGTATTTCGATTTGATTTTCTTGGCTGCAATTTCGTGGTATGAGATGAATGTCGACCAGTTAGTGCTGGCATATTTGCCGTCTGGTTCGTTGATGACCTCGAAGAACAACGGCAGGGTTCCTTTTGTTCCTTTGTCCATAGCGTCGACTGTCAGAAACTCAAACTCCGCAGCAGCATCAATGTTGTTGGGGAACAGACCCTTGTGATGGGATTTGTCTATCCAGTCAGGCCAAAGCTTCCCTGTAAGTATCCATAAATCATTGGTTATCAGTTTGTTAATTTTCTAGTTCAAATAGCCGTCTGTCTGTCTGTGTATCTCTCTCTGTCTCTCGGTCTGTATGTTTAAGTCTGTCTCTCTATATGTCTGTCGCCGGACTATTCAGATTTGTGATGGAGGTTTGAAAATAATCGAGTATGGACCAAATGAACCAGTGATTTATATCACAACCTCCGATCTAAGCAATTGCAATACGATGGAAAAGTAATAGAATAATGATGACAATTGTACCCAGGATCTTCATAGGGTGTACTTCAACTGGGAAGGTGTAGCGGTCTTCACACATTGTACCCAGTTGTGTTTTCGAACTCTATGTAACCACTGGCAAAATGTAGGCCTTCCTCATAGCAATTTTATTAACCCACTTCTCATGTTTCGAGCAAATACTTGGACATTTGAACCACGTGTTTAAGCTCAGTACTTCTCAGATTGCCCACATTATCACATTTGGCAGTCTTAGTAAACTTAGACTAAGTATTATTCGTTACACTGCTATACTGAGTCTAACAAAACCTAGTAGAAGGTCGCGTCAGCTTACCTTTTGGACTGACCAATCAGAACACAGCTTACCCAATCGCGAAAGTTAACAGTCGCACATACCGTTTGAACCTTTACCTCAAAAACTCGAACGATTCCGAATGCTATTTTCCGCACGATCGCTTCCGAGTGATCCACACAATGAGTAAAACAATCGCTGAAAATAGTAGTTTTTGTCAATATTCATGGATGTCATCTTGCGAAAATATAAGCAAATATTAACCATGTCATTAGAAATCCCTAAGCGTATATACTCTAGGTCAAATATATGTGTTTTATGCAGATTTTTTGTTTGTTGATAGATCAATGTCAGCGACTAGGGAAGAGAAAATCCCAAAACCTTTTTGTAAGTCCCGCCGAACCCTAACAAGTAGTCGTTGTCTGATTGGTTAAATCCGTTCGGCCGTCTCGCGTTTGATTGGACGGTCATAGGTCGCTCAAAGGTTAGCTGACGCGACCTTCTACTAGGTTTTGTTAGACTCAGTAGAGCAGTGTAACGAATAATACTGAGCCTAAGTTTACTTAGACTGTCAAATTTGGTAACTTGCCAGATATTACCTCGTGTTTTGTTCAGAAATGTCAAATCGGCAACAAATAATAAGGCTTGGCATGCTATCAGGTAGTACAATCAGGATGTTCACCTGACGTTGCCGCGACCATTTCCGGGTAGTTGTATCCTTGCACATTGACCATGTATTTCTGTGTGAATGGTCCTTTAATGGAGTCGAAGTAGGCTGGGTTAGGATAGCCCTTCCTGTGAGGGTTTTCTGTTGCCTGTTTTGATAGACAAAATATTTAAGTTACAAACACCGTCATCATCATATAGTGGCATCACGAGATGAACACATCATCGTCATTAGATGGCACCAGTCAGAAAAACATGCAAGGGTACGTCAGTATTTTTCTTGACAAAATACCTGAAAACCCATCAACAATCCACGATCCAGTTCGATACCCCTTTCAACAAGCTTAGGTTGTTGAAGATTGGTTCAAACCAGGATGGTCATTTTGCAAAGGAAATCTACAGAACATACAGTAGAAGTTAAATAAATCAGATATCCTGCCTTTGACACTGAATGTGGAAATGCTTCCTAGATATCTACCATAACCCAAAATAAATGACCAAACAAATTTTCTCCACGTGATGCCAGAGGACAACACTAATATTCAAAATATTCTATTGGCATTACCTTCTGAAATATAGCTCCATCGGGTTTAACCCATCTACCCACGGTTGCTCCTATTTGTTTGACACGTGCAATATCTGGGGTGTTGTCGAGGACGTTCTTGCCGTTCCAGCGTCCTTTCTCGAAGTTAACGCTGTCTCCAATCTTCAGGTACTCAGGGAAGATGGTGATAGTCTCGTCGCATTGCACCGACGGTAGACAGAGTAACAGCCATGTTACGATGTAAGCTGCATGCATTATGTCAGCTGTCCCTTGCACTTCGGTATCACCCACTGAGTGTTCTGGTATGTACTCTTATAGTAACCGTTATATATTTTCTTATCGCATGGTGCTTTGTTAGTCAAGGCTGCCTTAAGCTGAAGGGGCTTGGCCAAAGGAATGTGTCTAGTCACTGGTTTGAAATTTACTCTTATCTGGGAAACATTGTACATATTTGTCTATTTATCAATTATTTAACTCTCGAAATCAAGTTATTTGTATGACATTTAAAATACTAGAAATAATTTCATGAATTGATAGGTATATATGTGTGTTTGCGTGTCTGTGATACGTACGCTTAAAAAGTTTTCTTATTAAAGGCTTACTTCATTGAATTTGATTGATACAAGGATGAAACTTCATCTTGTGATAATCATGTTTTGTTTGTCTTTTTTTGTAGAAATATTGGCAAAACTGGCTGAGGGGGGCGTTCTGATCAGCAGCTGTTGTGACAAATATGTTGTTGTCACTGTTCTACATCTTCTTGGCACAGAGGGGTACTTGTTGGTCCCTGCCTGGCGCTCGGCATTAATGGGTACATCAAGGACTGGTCGGCTCGGAGTCAGTATAATGTGTCTGAGTTGGGTATTCATGCTTCACTGCGGCTTGGTATCTCAGTGGGCTAGCACTATAAAACCAGCTTCAGTCTGGGCTAGTCCACAGAGGGATAAGTCTACGGATTCTCTTCTGATGGAATTCCCTTCCAGTCTCCCTCCAATACAATAGTCAGTTGAGCAAGTGTGGATCCGGATCTTGACTTTGATGTACAGTGACTTCTGAATTATGAAGGAAGTCAACGCTGCGTGTGAGGTAGAGTTGTAATGTTAAAACGTCCTCTGTCGGTTGATAATCAGAACAAGGTCACCCTGAATAATTTGGTCGATGTATCGATTTGCTGTCGGATTTACTTAAAACACCATTATGCCAGTCTCTGTGTGTAAGACACGCATTCAGTTTCTCAGAGTTCATGCCTGTACAGTGATGCTCGATGAAAGCGTCTCAATACCGAAAAAACATACCGGATATCATTGTCTAATTCCCACCTCTTCGTTTCCTGATTGTTTGGTCTGATGCCCTTCTCAAATCTGGTACATGTCCTGCAGTCTGGATGACAGTAGCATTATGGTGGCGTATTTAAAAGAACCGGCTGTCGAACCATCTTGGGTTTATAGTAGGCTGCTCTGGTGTAGTTGGCATAAGCTGGACACTCCAGCTTCATGACTTACTTTGGCGATGTTGCAAATTCAGGCTCGGCATTCTCTTACAAGTTGATGAACGTATGATTGGTTGGTTGGTTTGTTGTTTAATAATCGAGTCTGGACCAGACAATCCAGTGAGACAAACGTTTGACAAAATGTTGAACGCCGTTGGGCCTTTTCAGCCAGGGTCGCTGGGGAAGTGCATCGGTTAAAGTGTTCTGTCGTCATGCCGAAGACCCGGGTTCGATTCCCCTCAATGTGTGAAGCCCATTTCTGGTGTCCCCCGCAAGCTATCCCAGCATACATGCACTAAAACATGTCAGTGTCCGGATTAACAACCTTAGTCACTAACATAACAGTCTGTCCTATGGTGTCAGCCTATGTAGCACACAATTTGTTGTACTGGAAAGATCATACTTTTAGGGATCATTTCTATAGTATGCATGGCTAGAACTTCAGGTAAACCTACCAAACCACGAGGTCAATACATGATATAACAAGCTGACTTAGGACTACCTAGAGGCAATCGAATACCTCGATAAAATACACACATCTGAAAAGGCCGCACAAAAAGCATGCAATTGGTTAAGATAAATAGCAATCCTAAAATACCTGCCAGAAAAGTATGCAATCAGCTGAATTCAAAACGCTGTGTCATATAAGACAGCAAGCTCTCTTAAAACTAAACCACGCAACAAGAAAGGCAAAATGGTCATGGAACCATATTATGGACATTAAATGTTCTCGGGTGAACGCAGTTAGAGACTTTTCACCTGACGTTTCCATGACAATTTCAGGGTAGTTGAATCCTTTCACATTGAAAATGTATTTTTTTATGGGTGGTCCTCCTTTAATGGAGTTGAAGTAGGCTGGATCGGGGTATCCCTTCCTGTGGGGGTTTTCTCTTGTCTGTTCGGATAGATAAGATGATGAAGTTAGGTACTTTGTAACAGTTAATAAAAGCAACAAAAATAGTGCATGATTCCAATTATGTCTTCTTGAGGTGTTTGTGAATCTCCATCAAATGGTGATTACCTGTGTATACCAGTATTCACGAAAAGGTGAGCCTTTCTCGCACCTCCAAATGCATGTGAAGGGAAGACATTGTTCATTTGATGGTGAATGTTGTTTAACGCCGCTCACAACAATGTTCCAACTCTGGTCTTTACAATTAAGTGATTGAATTGAAACCATCAGCATTGTTCCATGTAACTGGGATACATTAACCAAATCCGCGAATCTGAGCCCCTTATTTGCTAATGTACTCTTACAACAAGCATGGATTGCTGACCACCAATTATTACCAGGATATTCAGGGTAGAAGTTCAGAGAGAGGGAGGGGGGAGAGAGAGGGGAGGGTGAAACGGACGGTCAGACAGACAGCTATATGAACTAGTAAATCAACAACTGATGACCCATAATTTATGAATACTTACAGAGAAGCTTAATCTGGATGACGTCACCAGAATGTCACATACACAGAGAGAGGGAGAGACGGACAGTCAGACAGCCAGACGGCTAAATGAGCTAGTAAATTAACAAACTGATAATCCATAACTATTGGATACTTAGATTTCTCTCTTTCTCTCTCTCTCTCTCTCTCTCTCTCTCTCTCTCTCTCTCTCTCTCTCTCTCTCTGTCTCTCTCTGTCTCTCTCTTTCTCTCTCTCTTCTACTCTCTCTCTCCCTCACACACACACACACACACACAGAGTTTAGAAACTGATGTTGTTTGATACGAGCAACATCTTGAACTGACTTCTCAAGGACGTTCTTGCCGTTCCACCGTCCTTTGTCGAAATTAACGCTTTCTCCAATCTTCAGGAACTCAGGGAAGATTGTGATGGTCTCGTCGCATTGCACCAACGGTAGACAGAGTAACAGCCATACCACGTTGTGGGCTGCACGCATGTTTTCAGTTATGGAATGGAACTTTGTCTCACAGAATCACAGAACAACCTACATAACTTGACAGCCACTAATTTTATTTTATTATCTCACTGTGCATAGATTAACCTAGCCCCTTTGACACGAATCACTTCATGCTTTGACCTGAAGGGGCTTGGCCAACGGAAAGATAGGTTTACTGTAGCTAGATAGGTTGTACTGTAACTATGCATGGAACTGTGTCTAGCTGTCCTCTTTCACTTGGACTGCCAGATTGTTACTTGTGACCTCCAGTGAGTGACTGAGTTCAGTTTTACGCCGCTTTTAGCAGTTCTCCAGCAATATCACGGCGGAGACCCCTGAAATGGGCTTGACACATTGAACCCATGTGGGGAATCGAAGCCAGGTCTTCGACGTAACGAGCAAACACTTTAACCATTAGGCTATCCCACCGCCCCGTGCCCTCCAGTGAGTAAGGGTGGGTTAAGTACAATAAAATAATTGTCTACCTGAGACTGCATCGTCAGTCGGGGAATACTTGCATCTACCATTGTTCTTACTCACAGAATGTTGCTATTTTCGACTCTACATCCTGGCAATTACTGTGTCTGGACTGCCTGATTGTTACTTGTGCCTTCGAGGGAAGGGGGAAGAAGTATAAAATTATTGTCTCCCTCAGACGGCATCGTCAATCGGGGAATATTGGCATATACCATTGTTCTTACAATGTTGACTTTCTTCGATTCTACATGCTGGCAGTTGCTGTGTCTGGACTGCCTGACTGTCACTTGTGCCCTCGAGGGATAGCACCATAAGTCAATCACGGAATACTTGTATCTACATCTGTACTTCATCGCAGAATGTTGTCTGTTTGTAAACTTTACACGCCAACAGTCCAAAGTGTCTGCTGTGTATATAGTGCTGGAGTACAATGCAGGTGGCACTGTACAGACAGTTCTAACATTGTAGTACTGAATACCTTGAATACAATATACTTCAGCTGTAATTAAAGATGACGGAACCCTTAACATATTCACAAGAATACTTTACAAGCAAAGTACAATCCCGACCATGGCATAAGCTTGATACGATTGTTGATAATTGACACATTGTTTAAAAGTATATTGACACAGGAGTGAACACAAATGACTGATGTGCTTGACGGATCTGTATGGGTTTGATAACGGTATCATACATATGTTTTCCATCATAAGTTTATGTGGCTGTTGCCAACCTAATCACAATTTCATTACGTTTTTAATGTTTGGTCAAATCGATTTTTCAAGTGTATTCTTTACTAGGAGTGTATGTCAATCCCACAGGTACATGCTAGCACATTTAAAAAACAAGAAGACGACTATTGTTTTAGTTTTTCAACTTATTACAAAGATATTCAAAATGCGATTCCTTTCTCTGCCTTTGGACAAATAACTCAGTGTCTGCCTACGACCAATGCCACGGTCGACACAAAGCCCCCAGTTTGAGCAAAGGTCATTTTAACTTCGTTCTGCTGTCGTATGATGCTTGCGGAGACGTTGTACTCGAAGGTCTCAAACACCGTGTCACCAGAATCGCCAGCCTGCAAGGAGTAGAAGGAGGCCAAGAGGTGATTATTCATCATGACCGTCTTTGGATGTCCGTGAGGTGCCTTGCTGTCTCTGCTGACACTGATTCTCAGACGAGCAAAGTCAATGTTGCCAATGCTCGGGACGTTAACTTTAACATCGACGACGGTGTTGTGAATTGGGACAACCATGTCAGTGGAGTAATACGTTTTCTGGATCACAGTAGGAGCATGGGCAAAGTTGTGGCTTGTGTGGAACTGGAAGTAACAACTGGCTTCAGCAGGAACGGTTACCATGGAGTTGGAAACGTGAACTGTTTGGTCCTGAGCGAGGATTGGTTTCTTCTGTGCATTCAGATATTCACAGGTAGACTTTCCATTTGTTGGAT